ATATTAAAATCAATTTACACATTGATATTTTTAAACACTATAATTGATTATTTACATAAAAATAGAAAAAATTGGTGTGACCCCAACAATTTATTGAGTAGCCATAATCGTTCTTTGTATTTCATTTGCTAATTAGATATTTTCATAAAAATTAAATAAAGATTCAAATTTAAATCTCTTTATCATTGACAATGCTATGATTATAATACTACATAGTATTGTAAGTTTATCACATGACATAATTAAATTAATGAATTTATATAATATTATGAGTAAACCTTTGAATGAAAAGAATTAATAATTTAATAACACATTGTAATTGCAAATTTATAATACCATATGACATCGTATCTATATATATTAGTTTTGCATTATCATTACCAATTACTTTAAGTGGATCGATAACAATAATTTATTTCTAGTCAAAGTTAGAATTCATGAACTTGAATATATAGAAGAGAGTTTGCTATAAATAAATAGACCATTTAGAAATAAATTATAGACCTCTCATTATGCATTTAAATAAAATATCTTTAATCATTTGGCCAAAAATAAATAGACCATTTAGTGTTCAAATTAGAAAGATCATCTAGTTATTTGTAATCCCATGAAGGGTACTAATGTTATATGCTCTCCATTTAAGTCATGTCTCAAACTCTCAATCTTTAAAAAAATTTGAGATTCAATGTGGAAGATTTCATATTCAAATAATGACCAATAATTAATTATTGAGTTGTTCTAATACTTAAATGACATGAAAAAGATTCAAATAAACATTGCAAAAAGATTCAAATAAATAGAATCTGACTCCCCTTTGGTTGTAAACACCTTGAATGGCGTATATGATACTAATTGTGCTCACAAAGCTCTGGTTTCCATTTGCAGATCATTGATCTAGCAGTATGAAAAGATCTCTTTGATATGTCTATCAAGAGACTAATGGAGTGGCGAATACACTAACCAAACATATAATTTCTATGGGAGAGACCTTTATTACTTTCGGTTTTGTTTCCTGATTTTTGCACTCCTTGTTTTCTTTCATAATTTGAATAGTTGTATTGTGTATTGGACCATCTCTGGTACCTCTTTTGTTTAATTAATGAAATTTCCATTTACACCAAAAGACAAATATTGCAAAAAGACTTTCAAGTAAAAACATTGCTCATTAATTACATGTAAACATAAGCCAATAACAATTCAATATCTTATGGATGCCTACAAATTCAATTACAAAGAAGATAGAGTACCGTCAAAAACTAAATTAATTTCATTATATATTACAAAATTCACCAACTTTTTTTATCCTTTTACCACTTAAAATATACCAACGTTGTTATTTGATTAAGGGAAATGATTTTTATTCAATTTTTTTATCTCATCTTTTTATATAATCTGACGTGTCATTAAAATGATTGGATCCTTTAATTTATGTGAGACTTGTGATATTGAATGCATTTACTCATTTAATAACATGTGAAAGTTGTATAAAAATCTGATAAAAAGAGGTTGTTCCTATAGCACCCTATTTAACTAATGAATTGTGAGTAGTATTGACCATATCTGATGGATCTTGAGAAAAGCAATTCATGGATGTAATTAAGAGTATGCTTGATTCAGCTTTCAGCTTTAACTTTTTGATACTATTCATATTTCATAAATTTAAATTTTTCTCTTAAAAATTTACATTTTTAAACTCTTTTTTTTTTTAATTTTAAAAAGATCTCAAACAGTAAAAACTTAAAAATTTCAAATTCAAACTTTTTATAAATTCTCTTTTTACTCACTTTTTATTCACTATTTTTTATCTCTAAAAAAAACTTTTAAATTTTCCCTCTAATAACAATTTAAATTTATTATTTATAAACAATACAAAAAAAAAAAAAAAATTCTTACAAATTAATCCAAACATACTCTAAGTGCATGAATGGTGGTTGGCCAGATCAACCCTTAGACCAATTATCTTTATGATTGTTGAAAAAGAAAACCACGATCCAATCTTTGTTTAAAAAAGGGATATTTTGGCAGCCAGATTTGATTTGAGATCAAAGGGAGAAAAGGGGAAGCAGCATCAAGCCTCGTCCAAGAGAATCATCTTCTGACTTTATACAGTGACATTGACCTGGATATTGGGAATGTGATTTGCTACATCTCCTGTTCCTTTCACGTTGCAGATCCCAATTGGGAATGTGATTTGCTACATCTTTTGTAACAGATGTTCACGTTCCAGATCCCAAGAGCACAAACCTTTCTCTTGAGAGTTCAGACAAAGTCCAGAACACACCTCTCGGCTAGGGACAACAAACCCCATTAGTTACCTAAAACAACATGCAATTAATCAAATGATTGACAATAAGAAAACAAAAAACAAAACATTTTATTATGAGACATGGTTATGATTAGTTAATTGTAACACGTGGTATGGTCAGATAATCATCCAAACTTCCCGTAATTGATACATTGGAATGGCCACACAAGACACATTTTAATGTCCTCTTAACAAACAGCAGAATCACACCTCCTCACATGCCCCATGACTACGACAAGGTTTTGAGTATATGAATGGATAATCACAACAATAATTACACCAGTTCAGTAGTCAATATTTTTAGTTCAGTTATTCATATTACCCTTTCACAGTACATTTATTAATCTGTGGTTAAATAATTTTAATTTTAAATTCAAATAGAAGAAAAAAGTTATTTTATGCTAATTATATTACATCACTATAAATATATATATTAGATTTGTGGTTCAAATGATAATCATTGACAACCAATAGTTAACATGTAATAACTAATAATTATTGTGTTATTATTTATAAATTAAAATATTTAATCAATTAAATTAAAATTAATGACTAAGTAATAAGTATTTTTGAAACAGTAATCCAAACACCTCATATAATAACTACTTGTCTGCTCGCTAGTAACAACTTGATATGTTTGGAAACATAAAATTACTTTTTTGTTCGCACAATAATTATCATTTTTTAATTAAATTAATAATTGTTTGATGAGGATAAATTAAAGAAGTATTATATGTTAGTAATTACACTGTTTCTCACGGTGAGATTTTTTTTTTATTTAAAAAAAAAAAGAAAAAAAAATTCTATTCAAAGTTTGAACTCAAAACAAATTGGAGGAGATTAACCTTGAGCTCTTATCTCTATCAAAACTAAAAACTCGTTTAAAGTTTAAACTCATTTTTGAGTTGGTTTTCCAGCTATACACCATCCTTAATTTCCTGCGAATTCAACATTCAAGCTTTTATTAAGTTATAAACACTAGAAATCTCACTTCAAATCTCCACAAAATCGAAATCAAATGAATAAAGATTTTATTCTTTCGAAATCAAAATTGAATCCCTTTCAACTTTCCATGTATTGTGGCATTTAAAATTTTAACAGCTGAAATCAAGGGTCCCTTGATTTTAGTAGATTCCAATTTAGTTTCACAAAGATTAAAACCTCGCTGCGTTAGAAAGCAGCAGGACACACCCAAACCAACTACTGTCTGTTATCTAGAGATCCTAACAAGATATGTCCCCCAAACTTTGTTCCAAAACTTTACTAATCCCTACGACCGCCCCCTGTTTTAGTAAATGAGTAATGATGCAGCGGACGAAAACGCAGAACGAAAATGGGGGACGACAAATGATGCAAGATTTATATATGTAGTGTAATTATTAATTTGATCCCCTTACATCACTTGTCGTGTCCCATTTTCGTCCCGCGTTTTCGTCCGCTGTATCATCACTCTTAGTAAATACGTTTCCCTTCCCCACCATTGTCAAAGCATTAAACTTCCCAAAAAAGTAATCTTTGCAATGCTAACAATTAACAACATACCAATGTAACATAAACATTGAAGATTTGAAGTGAAGCAAAGGAAAAAAAAAGCTAGTACTTAGCTATTGCAGAGATTCCAAAGTTAAGATTGATTTAACTGATATCTAATTTTGCAATTCATAGGCCCAAAACAAACTCTTTGCTCCCAAACCCTGACCTGGGAAGTCTTTTGAACAGAATCTAACAAGAAATGCACAAAATATCGAAATTGTTGGGATTGAAATCATGAAAAATATGAGTGATGCTTGGGAATCTGTCAAGCAAAACAAAGATTGCTTTTTCTAAAGCAAAAGAAAACATACGAGGAAACATTCATTCATTCATTCATTGATTATGCTCTTATTAAACACGGAAAGGGTATGCAGAATCCATCCACTTTACATGAATCTCAAAATCTAAACTTTATCAAATCAGAAGAGCAAAGATCACCCTCCAAAAGAATACCCTGTAGAAAGAAACTTTGATGTCTCTTCCTCTCTTTTTTTTTTGTTTCTTCTGTCGTAGACATTTACAGGAAGATTTTGTTGCTTTATACAAACCCCCATCGATCTTCAATGAAAGATTTGAAGAACCGGCTTGTGAAATAGATCCTGGCCATCTACAAAGATCACAGATCTTCTCTCCTATTCATTCACCTCCTAAATCTACAACAACAGGCTATTCACACATTCTCAAGCAAACAGTGCTACTGAAATGGCAGCGAGTCGTTTCCCGCTCAGTCTTGCCCTGTACGGACGGGATACTTTTGGTGCTTCTGGAGTTTCAATCTCACCGGAATCGCTCGATTCGTCTGGAATGATTGAGTTTCGAAAAGCTGGTGTCTTTCTCGGTGTGCTGAATGCAAAGTGTGATTCCTTCGCAATCATAGTCTGTTTTCATCATTAAAAAACAGAACAATCAAAAATCGTACCGATAAAGAAACAGAAATGGTGGAATTTTTATCAGAATTGATGTGAATTTTTTACTTACAGCTTCTCTGACTGTCTTCGAAACATGATACAGCTTCTCCAAATCTTCATGATTTACGCCACAGAGAATCCTAATCTGCAGATCAGGGAAGATAACCATTTCAATTCAATCAAATTCATAAGCACAAAAAAAAAATTAAAAAAAACTGTTCCACCAAACCAAGATTGAAGCTTGGAATCTGTTTCTTACCAGGATATCTTGAGGAAGCGATTCGAGTGGAGATTTCTCGAGACAATCCCCAAACATGATCCTGCCGCTGCATTGTCTCTTCAAAGCAGTTCCAATTTCCGAATCGAGACGCATCGATGAGTTCATTTCATTTGAAATCACAATCCTTTTCCTTCTGAGACCTTGACTATATCTCACGAATCCCATCTCCCGACCTTCCTCTCCATTCACAGAGTTAAATTCCATCCCCAATGCCATCCTGAACAACTCAAAAACCCGAATTGAATCGCACTTCTTCAATAAACTGCATCAACAATCCAAGCACAAACAGAAAGATTATATTCTGTAATCCAAAAACAGAATCAAACTGCACCAAATTAAACACAGAATCTACTCAAAATCACCAGATTTCGAAGACAGGGTCTTAGATCTAATGAAGATGGAGAAGGATACGAACCTTAAGAGGGAATAAATAGAAGTTTTAGAGCCCTAAATTTGACAAAACTGTTACAGATTCTGAAAATGGGAACAATGAAAGAACTTTGGAGCACAGAGTTGCTTTAAAATGGGAAACTCTGCCTTATATAGAACGGAAAAAAGATTTCGTTTTAAATAAAAGAAATTAAAATTTTAAGTATCTACGCGTTTTTAGGTTTTTTTTTTTTTTCTCTTTTCTTTTTTACCACGAGAAAGTACTGGAGGGTTCTCATAAAAAGATCTGTTTCCTTTTCACTCGTGTGCACTGTACAGTGGGATGTTATTTTACATAAATGATTTATAAATAATTTTTATATTATTTTTTAAATTTTATATATTATTTAAATAATTTATTTATTTATTTAAAATTT